TCTTGACACCGGGCTCAAGTGGAGCGGTGGGGGAGAGTGAGGTAGATGCAGCACCAGCCACTGTCCTTAGAGTACTCTGCTGTGAACCTCATAGAAATCGACGATCGAACTGTCAGTCGCTGACAGAAAACAAAAGCCTGCCACACATGACCTGGCCCTCGCACAATATACAGTTTTTTTTCACGGTAAGGGAGAATCAGGTCTACGGTTCGTGAGCGCCATAGAAGCAACTTTTTAGAAGGAGCCATTGGGCCTGACTTCCAGTCCTCGAATCAGTCATCCCACATAAACACACTACTGAACACGACGTCAGAATGGTCCTGTCAGCTGACAGCATCCCAACCTGCTAATGAGAGACTCATGGACGGACTTTATAAGGGGAGTGCGATATCGTGCTAAACAATGGTAAGTGATTGCATTTCTTTCAATCATAGAGGGACAGTGTTGCAGGATTCTCAGTCATGTGGCGAACACCACTACTCTTCAGCTCTGCCCTCTTTCTCTAATGTTGGGGAGATGTAAACTTAGCAAACTTTCTGGTCAGAACGAGTCAGAACCCGTTGTATCTGCACATCCAGAAGGTCATGTTATAGCAGACAAAAATGAGTGCGGGTAATTATTGGACATGAACAATGTCTGCGTTCGATCAAGGACTAGGAAGGGGTGGGGACTGCAAAACGCCGTCATACCTGGATAAGATTCCGCCACCTGCTTCACCAACTCTTCCGAAAATCCAGCAATTATCGCGCCCCCAACCGGAACCATTAAGTTCTTATCAGTGCTCTGAATGTACAGGAAGTCGGGCGGAGGTGGTTGCCCGATGCTGCGGGGGTCAGTGTTGTTAGTCGATTTAGCGGGAGATTTGGAGGATGGTTCTGTGATGGAGGAACTAGAGTTGGAGGAGAGGAGGACCTTCCAGGAGGACTCAATCGTTCGCATACAACGTCTTGACTGGACGCCATAGGCGTTGTTCACAAGGTGTGGGATGCCGTACCGGGCACAGAGGCGACTCACTGCGGTTAAACTGTTCACAAACAGAAGTAAAGAGTGAAGGAACAAGGTAACCTCCAGCGTCTACTGACCAATCTGTCAGGCATAAGTCGAACGCAACGATAGCAACCACAACCTGGCGGCAAAATTGTGAATTGCATTTTATTGGGCGGGAAGATATTTGCAGAACCGACACTGCCCTCTCACCCTCGCTAGGAAGGCTGGTGATGAGACAGGCATCAGTGGTTAATCCGACCCAAAGTTATTTCTACGACTGTTACAACACACTGGATAACCTCGCCGCGCTTTGAGCGCCAATTGGAGTGACCAGTGGAGCATGGCTGTCGTACTTTTGACGGTTTCCTGGCGCCACAGGTGAGACCTGAGGGTCGTGGACACCAGAATGAACTTTTTTGCAGCTAGGTATGTAGTGCGACGATGAATTTTCAAAAAACAATATTTTGCCTCTCCAGGCACCCTCCACAAATGTGAACTCTTGTCTCACCGGGTGAGCGCAGCCGTACCCCTCTTGCTCTTCTCAAAACCACGTTCCACAGGGAAGGCACATACATGTAAATGGCTGGTGAGGTTTTAGTGTACGGCCGAATAAACTAATTGGATGTTGGAATGTGCGAATAAGGCTGATAGCGTAACCATGGACCGGGCTACAACCGTGTCGCGGCCATACCTATGTCAATTTTGAAGCATTTGTTCCCCGGTACAAATTTAAAACACGCATATACAGCAGAATTTATTGGCGTCAATAAATTT